TAAGAAAATATTTTTGGAATAAAGATCGTCGCTTTTATGATTATGATAACCTATATTTTGAGGATATGTATTAATAATAATAATGTAATGTCGCGACCCGGCCAAGGGTTGAAGTTAGACAAGACGAGAATAGACGGAAATGCGGTGAAATCAATTCTCTGTTATTCTATTTCTATCACAAACATCTTACTATTCAAATCATACATGAAAGAGCTACAAAAGAAAGCAATAAAATTAATAAGTAAAAATTGGTATCTTTCTGGTTGTTTTTCAAGCATCCTATATGCATCTGTTCTTCTATTCATCATGTTCAAACATTTAAAACCTAAATATAATAATAAAACAACATAATGAGTTATCTAAAGATAACCCATGAGTAATCACACTTCTAAACTACATATGCATGCAGGTCTGTGAGAAATCTTAAAATATGCTGATATTTTATATTTCTATAAGCAATATGATATATATTAATGCATGCATCAATAATTTTTTCTAAATAAAAATATTAAATATTTACTTTAACTTTACTTTTACTTTATAATTAATATACACATTTGTTCTTGTGAGGATCCCCGTTAACAAACCTAACACACCATTGGCCGACATTGCCCCGTCGACTCCAGTTGGCAGAGCAATTGGTGATTTACACATCTCAATAGTTTAGGGTGGAAAGGTCTTTACTTTTCCCTGACCGATATTAAACCGTCAGCACAACAATTAGTAATATTGCATCACAATTGTCGGGAGATGTAAGCTTTGGTCTACTCGCCCCTAGCCAATATTATCTTGTGGGCACAACAGTTAATGATCCAACCATCATAATTATTTGAGGTGATAGAAAAACTGTACGCACGTGGGTGCACTGGCATCTTCTGCCTCATTAAGGAGTAAAATCTATTTCTGAACATGCACATACAAGCATTCATATATAAGTTATTTCATTCTGCATAACATACATTATTTTGAGATATATGTATTCATCTACTAATATGCATATTTACTCTGTCGTGCAACTATTCATCATACGTATATTTCATATCACTCATATATATATCATACATCTCACGCATATCTTTCATGAATGCACGTCTTCTATAACTTTTAAGACATACATAACTTTTCTATGTGACAACATGAACAATCAACTGCAATTTAAATCCAACTGAACTAAAGCATATGTAAATCAACAAACATTTTGAAATAAAGGATTACTGAAATTTAAAAATGTAATTACTCACCATAGTTGTCACGCTAAAATTTTAATCTTCAATGGTTAGTTGGAGGTTGCAGTGACTTTTATATTCAGCTCAATAACCAATAAAACATCATATTAAACTTTAAAATTTAAATGATTTCCGTAAATGCAATTAATTTTTTAAGTTAGCATATCATTCTTTACCTAAAATTTATGAAGCTGTCCTATAATGATTTTTTACACGTTTGTCTCAAATTTGTCACCTAAGATAAACAGCCTAGAATCTGTAAAGATCTTATCATTTTATACATTTTCAACTCATAAAGTAATTAAACCCAAAAACTAACATTCTTACCTCAAAATAGGTTTATCGTCATAGATCCATCTTTCTAAAACTGTTAAATTTAATTTTTATCACCTCCGACCACAAATCAAAGCTGATATTGTGTTAGAACCCTGGACTTTCAACGCTTTAGACACACAATCGGCGCCTCCAACGGCTACTGGAAAGCAAAAATGAACGAAAAATGAGGCAAATATCAATTCGAAAGGTGAGGAAAAGCTTCAATATCGTGAAAGTGGGGTTTGTGCTTACGAAATTTGCCATGGAGCCATAAATTACGAATTGTGGCTTCCTTTTATGCCGCTCGACCTCCCTACTACTCACGACCCTTGCACTGTAGCAAGGATTGTAGCTTTGCTCGCCCCGAGTGGAAGGAATAGGGAGGGGTCACGAAAGAGAAAGGAGGCAGAGGAGAAGAATTCTGGAGAGAATGGAAGAACTTCGAAGCTTGGCAACCCTAATTGATGAACGACGAGATTAAGAGAAAATTACGTATGAATTAACTAGGTTAATTAATTTAAAAAACTTCTAATTTTAAATATCATATCTCTCAATCTGTTCATAATTTACATACAATGCTTTATATAGAATTGGTCGGTTTCTTACGTTAAATTTAATAAAATTATTTCAATCAAATTCTGGGAGATAAGAACTTTGGGATACATTTTATGTTGTCAAAAAACCGATTTCTCAAAATAGATTATTAAGGATAATGATTAATGTAAATAATCATTTAGATGTATGAAAAACAACTAATGTCAATGAAATTTATTTTGACTTGCTTATGTAATTATTTCCCCCTTATTGGTTTATTAATTGTTGTATTATAAATGCACTAATAATTCTCCAAACAAAAGAAAATTAAAGATTTGACTCAACTAAAATGTATTAAAGATGAAAACCAAAAAGTACTTTTATTGGAAAAAGATATTCAGCATAGAAGGGTGAGCTATTTTGATAAACATGTCAATGAAATTTCTAAAAATACAATAAACATTAGTGATCTTAATAACATTAATAATAATAAAATATTTTATTTTTACCGTTATAAAAGGAAAAAAGATGTTGAGAAAGTTTTAAAGAAAACCAATGATGGAAAATCAATGGGACCTGATGATATCTCAATTGAAGTGTGAAAATATTTAGGAGATTTGATAGTTTTGTGGCTTTACTAAACTCTATAATCTTACTTTAAAGACTAAAAAGATGTCTGAGGAGTGGAAAAACAATATTTTGGTCCCCATTTCTAAGAATAAAGGGATGCATAAGAGTGTGCAAATTATAGAGGAATTAAGTTGATGCATCACACTTTAAAATTATGGGAGAAGGAAATTAAGCATAGGTTAAGACATGTTACAAAGATTTCTCATAATCAGTTTGGATTTATATCGAGCAGGTCTACCATGGAAGCTATATATTTATTGAGATGTTTGATGGAGAAGTACAGAGAGCCTAAGAAGGGTCCACATATGATTTTAATTGATTTAGAAAAATCTTAGGATAAGGTTTCAAGAGAAATCCTTTGGAGAGTTCTAGAGAAGAAATATGTTGATATAACTTGTATTCAAGTCATTAAAGATATGTAAACTATAGTTGTTACTTGTCTTCCAACAGAAGAAGGATTGACAAAATATTTTCCTATTTTCGTTGGATTGCATCAGTGATCAGTTGTAAGCCCATATTTTTTTGCTTTAGTTATGGATGTTCTTACTGAACATTTACAGAAGGATGTACCTTGGTGTACGCTTTTCCCTGATGATATTCTTCTTGTGGATAAGATTAGAGAAAGAGTTCGGGAAAAACTTAAATTATAGAAAACTACATTGGAGTCTAAGGGCATTTGTTTTAGTAGAACCAAAACTAAATACATGGAAAGTAATTTTAGTAGTAGCTCTAATGATAGAGTTGTAACTATGGGTGATCAAATCAAAAAAAGGAGTGAATGCTTTAGATATCTCGGGCCTATTGTTCAAAGTGATGGCGATATAGATGGGGATGTTATTAGTAGGATTCAAGTTGGTTGGTTGAAGTGGAAGAATGCTTCGACCGTATTGTGTGCTAGAAAAGTACTACTTACACGGAAAGAAAAATTTTATAAGATGATGGTGAGATCTACAATACCTATGGAATGGAATATTGGCCTTTAAAAGAGAAGCATAAAATAAAGTTAAGTGTTGTCGAGATGAGAATTTTTACGTGGATGAGTGGCTTGACACTTAGAGACAAAATGCAAAATTAATATAATTGTGATAGGTGTAGCTCAAGTGGCAGACATAATTAGACAGAGTCATCTTAGATGGTTTGGTCACATTAAACGTCGACCATCTGATAATTCAGGAAAGTAAATGTTTTTTAGATACGACTTATGTTAAGAAAGTCAGAGGTAGACTTGAAAGACTTGGGCATATTGTATAAAAAATGATCTTAATTTATTAGAATTAAATGAAAATATGACACTCAATAGAACACAATGGAGAAAAAAGATTCATGTAGCCGACCCCACTTAGCTGAATAAAGGCTTCTTGTTGTTGTTGTTGTTGTTGTATTGTGATACAAATTTGAAGCAAGCTCTCCTCGTTATGCCTCATCCAACATGGTTCGCTATAATGTATGGGTAGTTGTGCTAGGATATTACACTCATAAACCCTAATCTAAGCTTTGTAACTAAGAGACGTTCAAAATGAAACACAAATTTTAGGCATTTTTATTTTCTAAAATTAAAATAACTATCAACAAAATGAAGCAATATGTACAAATTCACCAATTCAGGTAGGCCATCAATAAGTGGAACAAAATAAAACCCAGGGGAAGAAACTTCAATGATCCTTACAAGCTTTTAATCTTGGCATTTTTTGTAATTATAAGGGGAAATTAAAAAAAATGGTTAGTGGGTGTAAACATGAAAGTAACTGATTGGTCAAGTCAAAGATTGCATGAAATAATAAGCCACTAAAAACATTAGTGGATCTATAAACTATACTTTCCATCCTAATTCTTAAATGTTCTTTAATCTCGATCATCATCATCCAAAACAACATTGCCATTATCCTAGTTCTTCAGGGTCGGCTTCATGAATCATCATTTTTGCATTGGTTCGTAATGAGTGTTGATTATGATATTAAATGCTTTATAATCAGTTTCTGAAATGGCCTTTTTATGGGATTGAAAATCAAGCTAGCAAACAGATAGAGATGAAATAAACAGGCAACCAAAATCAAATCATAAACCAAGTCTTTTCACCAAGTTATAGTCTTTTTCACAACCCAAAAAAAAACCCATTAACAACTAAAAGAAAGATAGCCAAAACAAAATTTAAACTCACAATGAAATAAACAGTAAATGGACCATTTATAACAACTGTCTTAAGGAAAAAAAGCAGAAACTTAAAACATCATAAATCAAAATCATGAAAAAATACATTTCTAAAATTAAAAACAGTAATATATGGTGAGAACATACTCCCATGGAGGTTCAAGTTCTTTGTTCCATATCCCTTGCAAATTAGAAACCTGGGTTCCAGGCCTTGAGCTAGATATAAGCAAATAACGCCCATAATGAAACAGCAGTTCTACCAAGGAAGGATCCTCATCAATTTTAAAAGATTTCACTCTTTCTGCAGTTGATAGAAGAGCATCATCTTTCAACAATTTTAGTTTCGTTTTTTTTATGTTATCAGAAGCATTAGACAACTGCAGCGAAACCCGATGAAAAAGATTTAAGTAATCATCCAAATGATATGCCAATAACTGAGAGAAGGACAAATTTGTAATTGAATTTGCAGTTTTTATTGATTCAGATCTTGGATCTATCTTGGATTCTGATGGATTTATGAATGGTCCTTCAAATGATGATGATGCAGCTAGAATCAAAATTGCCCAATCCGCACCATCGATTTTTAGCTTCCTATCTTCCATAACCTGCACCATGGCATTACTGCCACCTATCTGAACATCAAGAACTGCGGCGAATCGAACTCCATTGGAATTTTCGGACAATTTAATCTTTGGCGGCCTTCTTTTTACAGGGCAGTTACCTTCCATGACTATCTGGTTTGCAGAATTAGCAACTGATTGATGGTGCAATTTACTGTCTAAATATACGATAAATGAGATGGAAGCTGCTTTGGTAGAGGAGATCTTTGTCACAACCACCTGATGTGGATTTGAGGAGAAATGCTCTCTTGTGAATTCTACATCCCCTAAATTATACTTGACTTTCACAGTTGCAGTTGACAAATCAAGTTCTCTCACATAAGAAGTATAGTTCAAATGAGAATCATCAAATTCAAGGTTGATATTTCCAAGAGGTTGGTAAGCCTGCAAATATATGATTTATGAGAGATTCTTTAGTGAAAATTATATGCCAATTGGTAATTTAAGAGAATCAAATAATCAAATCATTTGAAAACATTATTTTTGGTTGTCTACACTGAAGATGAAGCTGAAGTGCCATATCTCTCAAAGTTTTCTTTTTTCCATGCAGTAAAGGATAAGGAACTGTGCCAAAACTGAATCCAAAACAATTTTAAACACCACAAAATGCAAGCATGGTAACAAAATGAAGTTAATCGAACAGCCTGGATGGATTATATCTCCAATTTGATTATAGAAAATTTAATAAATTAAATAAACTCTCTAGCCTTGATTGAGGACCTCAAAGTTTCAAAAATTTAATGATTAATTCCTTCTGGAAACAATATCCTAATCGAACTAAGGGCTCATTTGGTTGCTTGAAATTAGATGACATGTTATGAAAAATAATGAACTCACTATACTCCTTCCATTGGTTGAATGTAATCAGAAAGAATATGTATTTACACTCAACAATTTTAAACTCTACAAATAACTTCAAAATCTCCTAAAATTGAAGGTTTCATTTTGAAACTCAAACTTCCAACTAAAAGCAACTAAATGAACTTTAATGTATTCAATATATTGTCAAGTTGCAGAAAAAAACAAAGAGGATACTTGATATATCCATTTGATAGAAATCTTATGATGCATGGTTAATAGGGCTCTTTAACTTTCCAGGATTCAACCATTATTTGCAACGGCTGATTGAGTGTTTGTAATTATGCCCCCGCTTCAATACAAGCAAATAAACACAAATAACTGGGTGCATTACTAACCTAATAAATTCTAACAAATTGGACAGACGTGCTCACATTCCCCCCTTCCGAGAAAAACATTAAAAAATGGTAAACAGATCATCGCCTACCTCGGGTGGATGATCTGACAATCCAAAAGCAGCTGCGGTGGCTTCAGCGTAATGCCCCTCATCGACAAGCTTCCTGACATTAGAAAGCACACTAGGTGCATCAGGATTCGTGTAATCACCCGGCACACCAGTCCACAGAGTATCATCTACACAGAGCATAACATCAGTCACACTATCATCTAAGAATATGTATAACAATGAAAAGTTTTAGGGAAATATAAGAATTTAAGAAGCACTTGCGATTGAGCTGAAGAATCTCATTGGGTACATTTCCCCAAACCATGGCGCCAAGACGTCCGTTGCCGATAGGAGCAGCATCAGTCCAATGCTTTGCAGGCTCTGTGAAGACCACCTTCAAAGGCCCCGACGGTTCGTCGTCCTCGTTGTCACTACTGCCCCAAAACTCTGAGTCCGCCTCAATCGGTGGTCTGACCCACACCCATTCTCCCTCTTCGTCTGGCTCCATGCGCAGTTAGAGAGAGATGAAACCTAGAGAAGGAGGAAGAAGAAGAAGAAGCACGATGAGAAGATAAGAGGAAGCAGAGAGCAGCGTACTGGCAAGCGTCGCAGCAGAAGGCAAATGCTTCGACGGATGAGAAATGGAGACAACGATGATACTATA